ACCAATGGCGATTTGCACTAAACATTTTAGTCAGTGCAAACTTGTAGTACAAGTGATTCCCAATTGTAGGAACTAAATTGGTTAGTCCGTGTGAAAAGATTTAAATGTATCGTGCTAAGTTTCGCTTCTTCATTTTTTCACCTGATATATCATAATTTGTGAACAAAGGACCCTCTTCACGTTCATCTAATGGTATATGTCTGTTTTTTGGTCTACCAATCACTGCTTAATTCTCTTAAAATACATTCTCTTCCCCTAAGTACTTCACGTTTCATGTTTACTGGTATGTAACAGAGGATTAAAAACCCTTATTTTACACTGACGCAGACGTGTAAGGGCTTATGCAGAGTTGTCATGTGAATTGATGACAACTGTTGGTATCTGCTTGGGATGCTCATTGTCATCGTTCCTAAATGAACTTCGTTATACATACACTAATGGACATCAGCTTAGGGACACGTCACTTCACAGGGATTGACCTACTTCCTGATGGGCATCTGGTTGACCTGGAGTATCTAAACCATGTTGTCATGTCAGGTGAAGATGATGACGCAATGCAGCCTCTTCTAAACGCGTTGAGCAGAAATCTGAGGATGTTTGGCTACCATGCGGTTCACACATGTCACATTTAATACGGGGCTCCAGGACTCGTCTGCTGCAAGTAATCCCAGTTTAATGATAGACAGTGAAGTGGTGGAATGTGTCGACCACTCCACCTACTTCGGCAGTTGCATAAGCCCGAACGGGCTGGTTGCTGACGGAATCTCAGATCGGTTAAAGAAGGTGCGTTCGGCACTCGCCAACTTGCGTCACATGTGATGCACATTGACGAGATATCCGACTACATATTAAAAGATGAGTATACTGCACTGCAATCCATTCTCTCCTGTTATACAGCTGTGAGATATGGCCGTTATGAGTAGAAGACATAAAGCGATTACAGGGTCTTGATCATAGGTGTCTTCGTAGCGTTGCTCACGTTTGGTGGAGTCAGCGTGTGAGCAATGTGCAAGTCAGATGAAGGGTACTAGGAAATATAGGTAAGTCAGTCGATGAGGTTGTAAACCTTAGTCGACTGGGATGGATTGGAAATGTACTTGGCATGCCAAGCCACTGTCCTCCTCCTTGAAGTGCCATGCCAAGGCCAGCTCGATTCGGTTCGAGGAAGGTTCAAGATGGGCAGACCAAGGCCTGGTACTAGTCTATGACTGTCCCTGACTGTTGGTCTGAGCCATGTAGGGGGAGATGTAGACTACCTAGCTGGAGACCCTGAGACGATAGGAATAAGTGGTTGAGAACTCTTTATGACATGGATGAAAACTGGTCACAGTGGTGCAGATGTATTCACTTTTTGACTTCTTCTAAAGCTTGAATATTTGCACTAACCTTTATCTTCAGATTGCTTATTCTCTCACACTACTTTGTCCACTTTGATGTCACTCCTTGTCTATACAGCTGACTATATATACTACTCTGAATTGTGATAACTTGAACCAATACACCTGTGTGCGAGGTTCTGAGTTAATTTTGTCAGTGAGTTGGATTATCTTGTCGACAGTTTGATTTGATTTGATTTTATTTCTTGGTTACTCATACCAAAAAAACTTGAGTACTGCACAGAACGTGCGTAAGAATTCGTCTTTCTATGGTTGGAGAAGGCTAGAAAATGTCAAATCAGGGATACTTAGTGAACAGACATAAACAATAATATTATATTTATAAAGGGTGTGGGGAGATTGATTGATTTTCAGGTTGTTTCTCATCACGGAATGATATCAGTTGAATAACGATTGCAAACCTGTCTAACACCGGTAAGAAGTAACTGTATAGTCCTCCTGAAATTTCCACAGTACTTCAGCTAGTTAAAAAAATCTACTATACTCCAAAAACGTATTCGGCAACAGTTTATTATGTCTATTCCATAATGTACCTACAACAAAAAGTGCTTACATATCTGAAGAGGTGTTAGTTTCATGAAGCTGTCGCTCATTCGTCCGAGTAGTTGACTTTCAATCAGTAGTTCATGGATTCAAACCCTGATCAATCCACCGGTTGTTTGGGAAGCCACATAGTATTGTTATCCCTAACATGATAGGTGTGGGTCACTGCTTAATGCATGAACATATACATGGTTTCTGAGACAATTTTTCATGAATAGAAATGCATAAAATGATGTGGACACCACTTATAGAACAATAAATGATGACAGTAAAAGTTTCACAAATTAAAGCTGGCTTACCGCATTGAACGTAATAAGAATGGTTGAGCTAACTGAACTACAATGGCACCATTACCAACTGATGACATGTATAACCTGAATTCCAATCATACATGCGAATATTGCCATCAATTAGTGCATCTCTGTTGCGACTAACACCTTCCAGTACTATAGCACCATGATCAATATTCGCAACGTTGTAGTTCGGAACCTAGGAGAATTGCATTCAAATTTACCACGATAATATATGCACATGGGAAAGAAAATCGTAATTAGACTGCCCTTAAAGTCCTTGGAAAATATGTTCCACAAAAGAATACCATTTATGTAGGAAAGAACTGTGAGAATGAACTGCTCAAAACTTCAAGTTACTATTCCGTTTAACAACGAAAGATTTCACTTCAATGACAATGTAGATTCTACTGTATAAAACGACAAGAGGGAGACGAAGGGAGGAATGTTTATAATTGACATCTTGTACAGTAGTGATCAAATATTGTACACTTTCCACTAAAAAAGTCATTTGTATAATGGGCTTCATTTCCTCCTCTGCTTCTATTTTGATTTGCTCTTATACGCCCATATTGTCTCTTGTGTTTCTCTCGGCAGAATCTTTACCCATTGATGGTAGATCCCTATGATTTCTGCCGCCCTCTCAACATAGACTACTTATATCCATTCTGATCAGCAACGCCCACTACACTACTACAAGCTGATATCTGTGTAGTAAATATTAAGGAAAATTTAGCAATAAGTAGATAGAAATTTCATCCAATTATTACGGCTAGGCACATGCAACAAACACTAAACAGTGTACCAAAGGTCTGTTGCTAACAGGCTCATGTTTTCGTCGATAAATAAGAATAGGTTGAAAGGAATATCAGAAAAACTTCTAATTATTTATGCGAGTTCAGTTTATTTCGAATTTGCAATGGAAACCAACATTAAGGTTATGAGACGTTCTAGGTTCGATAAATCGAAATCCGTAAGAAAGCTAAAATTGTGATAAAATGAAAGACAGACAAGAACTGTACACTATTAAAATATCCATTACTTAAAACAGGAAGACAAATGCATTTACATCACTTAGATCATTTATGTGCGATATCGATTAAAGTAATCAGTCATTAGCTTCTCCTGATTTGAGAATAGAAACCAAAAGTTAAAATTGCATAGGATAGGTGGGATAGGTGTTAGTTGGATGGAGGCAGTCGTCAGGAAGCTATGGACCTAGGTTTTCTGTTTTTTGGCACTCGTCAGCAAGGCGTATCTAAAACCTCGACTGAACTGGTGTCCCTGCCTGAGATTTAAACCCGTGTTGCAGTAAGAAACGTTATCACTGAGCTATTGGTGTGGCAACTGACCTTCTATAGGACTGGGTTACATGCATTGATTAGTTACTGCAGAATAACTAACTTCATGTAGTTTAGTCCTATGTGCTGATTAAATCCTATCGATCATTTTGCAATGAAGGCACCAGACCAGAGGAGCCTCGTTGTCACGATAGTTTGTTTCTGTTCAAGTGAATAAAAATTGTCAAAATACATGGTGCATTCATCAAGTATAACCAATCCAGTTGGTTTATATCTGTTACAATATGGATTAAGATTGTTCAGATTCGCATGAAAAGCATTAAATCTCTGAAAGCTTTGACAACCAATCGTTCGACCTAGAACTTTCGCGAAAAGGCACGTCAATCAACGTGGAAACACCAGATGACTTCCTAGAAATGGTGAAAGGAAAAGGATACGCTAACCCAGAAAGGCGCGAAAACAGTCAAGGCAATTATATACATACAAAAACTATCGAATTTTGCAAATATCTGCATGTTGCTGTGTTCCATTTGTTATCATATCGTATCGCCTATTTACTGAGGAGGAGAGAGATTATTAAGGGTGGAGTCTGAAGGTTAACGTTCCTGTACATATACCCATAAATTAGGCTATTTTAAGTGAGTGCAAAGACATAGCAATAACTTCACATTGTTATTATTGTTTTCCCTTGGGTTCCTGGTGGAACATAGGGCTTCAGTAGCACGCCTCCATCCCACTCTGCTTCTCTGCAGGCTTTTCAACCTGGCACCACAACTGCCCACAAGCTTTCATTTCTTCCTCACATGATCTCCTCCATGTCACCCTCAGCTCGAACGACCAACTCGTCGTTTCTCCTTTGGATTCCACTCGAGGGTCTGGCCTGGTGCGTGATAACCCCAGTCGGCCTTCTTAGTATACGCCCAATCCATCTCCACTTTCTTCCGGATATTTGTTGGGTGATAGGTTCCTGGTTGGTTCGTTACCCGACCAGATTTGCTTGTTGCTTATTCTTTCTGGCCATCTGGTCTTCAATATCGAGCCAGCGTAGGCTGCAGCTGTTGATGTATGTCTGAAGTTTGTTGCAAATGCTTTTCGTCATGCGCCAAGTTTCCGAAACACCACATACAAGCACCGACTTGATTGAACTGGTATTGAAACTCCGAATCTTTCAAGACTTTTCTCTCGATGAAAGCAAAACCTAGCACAGGGACTTAGATTGTAAGCAAAATGTTTGAAGCTGGCTAGCAAGGCTACCCAGATTGCACAAGGGATGAGAAGATATGGCCTGGGAGTGCTTGGAATCTGTGAAAACAGATGGAATGGAAGAGGACTCTCCAAAATCTCAATTGCAGAGTCAATTACCTACTCCGATATTGTCACCCAGACGACAACCACGAGCACACGGAGAGAGTGACTATCACGATTTCCCTAAGAACATTGAAGGCTCTCATGCAGTGAGAACCAATCTCCTTGTCCACCATCAGGTTCATCACAGCAAGATTCAAATCAAAAGGAAGGAAGGTCACAATCATACAATGCTACTCTACGCCATCCACCTACAAATAATGCAGATCAAAAAGAGCAGGGGAATTCTACAGACAACTACAATCAGTAATAGACAAGACTCCAACCCAGATGACGACATCAAAATTCGAATGGGCAATATGAATGCCAACCAAACTGGGAGCGCATAACGCAGGAAGAGAACTCATCAGCAGTCGAGAAGCACTCGGTGAAATGATGAGTGAGAATGGAGAACTCTTTGTAGACTTCTGCTCATTCTACAATTCGGCGATTGGAGGCAGTGTGTACAAAGCGACATGGATTCGACTTCACCAGATGGACACACTAAAAATCAGATCGATTTCATTTCAATCTCAAGAAAGTGGAGACGTAGCCTACTGGACACAAGATCAGATGAAGAAGGGGACCAGATGTAGATTCACACTAGTAGATTCACTATCTAGTGCAAGGAACCTTCAAAGTCAAGTTGATAGCTTCCAAAGAAAAAGCTGGTGATGACAGACCACAGTTCAAGTTCAACACCCAGAACAGAAACTTAACTCAACTGAAGGACGAAACTACAAAGGACATCTTCACATCAGTCAGTCAGTCATCAGGAAGAAATGGGAGACATTGAGCAACATCTCTGAAGAAACCTGTGTGGAAGAACACTAGAAATCTTTGAAAGAGATGAGGAAGGAAACCTGCATAACCATATTAGGAAGGAAGGGGAAGCAAGACAAGACAAGGAATAGATCTCGATCCACACATGGGAGCTGATAGAGGACAGGAAGATGGTGAAGCAGATGAACCGATGCAAGAATAAACAACGAAAAGAGGAACTGAACACAACGTATAAAACACTACACTGGACAAAGAAGTGAAGAAGAGTGCGTGCAAAGACAAAACACACTTCTACGACACATTGGCAAGTGAAGCAGAACAGGTTGCTGGTTGGAGAGATAGAGACCGGACAACATTATATCAAATAACCAGGTTGCTATCTCAGAAGAGATCAACACAGATGAAACCAAAGAAAGATAGTGAAGGAAACCTAGTTACAACCAAGAAGGAGAAACAAAGGAAACGATGGGCTGAACACTTCAAAAAACTCTTGAATCGATCACCACCTGCAACTCGTCCACAAATACCACCAGCAACGGCAGAACTACCAGTGAACACATACCCTCCGACAAAAGCGGAAGTCATGAATGCCATAAAGTTGTTGAAATGTGGGAAGGCAGCAGGACCAGATGGAATTCTGCCAGAAGCACTGAAAACAGACGCAGAGACAACAGTAGACATGCTCACACCACTACTGCAGAAGGTTTAGAAGGAAGGAACGGCTACCTTGTCAAACTCTCAAACAAGGGAGACATAAATCTTGACAAGAACTGGTGAGGAATAATGCTGTTGTCCACACCCATTCCAAGCAAAATATTAGGCCGCATCATCCTGGACAGACTAAACATGCTCTGGATTCAAAATTACAACCGGAACATGCTGGCTGGCTTCAGTAGGAACAAATCATTTGTGGACCAGATTACAACGCTACGCTACACATCATCATAGGAACAGAGCATAGAATGCCAGTCAACTCTCTACTTCAACTTTATCCACTTTGAAAACGCCTTCGACCGTGGCGTCGACCAAGAACTAGTTTCACAGGCAGCTGCTTCAACACTACGGTTTTAGTTAGTGCCACAAATCTTTATCAACCTCATTCAACAGCTATGTGAAAACGCCACATGCCGAGTGATTCACAATGGAAAGCTCAGTGATACATTTGAAGTGAAGACAGGAATAAGACAAGGCTGTCACCTACTATCACCGATCATCTTCCTGATTGTGGTCGACTGCACTAAACTGAATCATGCAACACACTATGAGGAGCGAGAGGATGGACATACGCTAGATGGACTGATGAAAAGACCCTAGAAGAAGATTTGAATTTCGCCGGTGATGATTTATGTCTAATGTCTCGTCGCACATACTCCAAGATCTACAGGCGAAAACTAACAAGTTGACAGAAGAGGCGAGGCAGCGAAGATGGGACTGACTTCAGGTGAACATAGAGAAGACAGAGGTGATGAAGATACCCAGCGAACAACAACAACAACAACAAGCATCAGTCACCATCAAAGGGAGAAATCTAAACGAAGTTGTCTCTTTCACCCGCCTAGGTGAGGCAGAATCATTTCAACGACAGGCGGCACGGACGAGGATCGGAAAAGCAAGACAGGGTTTCATTAACCTGAAATTAGTATGGGAATCTACTGCACTCAGCAGAAAGAATAAGATCCGGATTTTCAATACCAGTTCAATCAAGTCGGTGCTTGTATGTGGTGTTTCGGAAACTTGGCGCATGACGAAAAGCATTTGCAACAAACTTCAGACATACATCAACAGCTGCAGCCTACGCTGGCTCGATATTGAAGACCAGATGGCCAGAAAGAATAAGCAACAAGCAAATCTGGTCGGGTAACGAACCAACCAGGAACCTATCACCCAACAAATATCCGGAAGAAAGTGGAGATGGATTGGGCGTATACTAAGAAGGCCGACTGGGGTTATCACGCACCAGGCCAGACCCTCGAGTGGAATCCAAAGGAGAAACGACGAGTTGGTCGTTCGAGCTGAGGGTGACATGGAGGAGATCATGTGAGGAAGAAATGAAAGCTTGTGGGCAGTTGTGGTGCCAGGTTGAAAAGCCTGCAGAGAAGCAGAGTGGGATGGAGGCGTGCTACTGAAGCCCTATGTTCCACCAGGAACCCAAGGGAAAAACAATGAATAATTATTATTATTATTCAGACAAATACTTAACACCAGTAACTAGTGTATGGAAAGCAGGATTTAATGAATTTATAAATTTCGACGGAGCTGTTCAGATGCATACTCTGAATGATGTAATACAGATTAAGATACATATATGCGCTTCAATCTAGAACAACGAAGAAAGTTAGGCAACACAACATTGTCAGGCATAAATGAAAAAAAGGTTGTGAAAATTGAGTGAAAAATTAAATGGAGTAAGGTTTGTTTACGTCATTGTCAGTTAACAAATGAATGCTATTGATAGATATGACTATTAGATGGAACAAGTGAAGTGAAGACTCCAGGAAACTCCATAACTGAACACCTACTAAACTTCAGACATGATATCAAATGTATCAAGTTATTTAAGGTGCTTAGTGGAGGACGGAATAAGAAACCGCTTACAATTGCAGAAGCCTGTGCACATTGGTTCACAAACCAGCCTCTTGCATGCAGCAAGAAATGCCGGTGATTCGTAAATTACCTTGATAAAAATAATAAAAAGAACTCCAGAAAAATGAAAATCTCACTATTATTTACCAATATAAAAGAGCTGGGATAGTATTACCGAATAACTCTGACTACGTTGGCGAGATTTTATTTACTTTGTCAGATGAAAAGAAATTCTCCAAGTCAACGAATCGGAAAGACCCAATCGAACGAAAAGAAAAGTAACTATCTAAATTGCTGAAGAAAATGAAAGATTTAATCATCAGCAATGATCTCTACGAACAATTTCACCTTTTCGGTACCACTACTCAATGTTTATATGGTTTACCAAAGGTGCACAAAAATGGTATCTCTCTCTCCGTCCAATACTGAACATGACGAACTCTCTATACCATACAATTGAAAAAATTGCCTGGGGGGAATTCTTGAACCTGCAGAAAAACATCGTTCTCAAAAATCCGTCAACTTTATGTATACAAAAGGTACATGCACGATACCTTCATTGTCTATGATAACAACTTGAACTTGATGCGCTTCCTTCAAAATTTCAGCGATAGCCACCCTTCAGTCAAATTCACACTAAAGGCTGAATCAAAGTCATTGTTTCATTTTGTCGACGTCAAACTCCAAAGGCAGCCTGGTAATTCTATTTAAAGATTCGTTTACAGGAACCCTACCTGGAACTTGGAACTGAATAACTTTCAAAGTTGGGTCCCTTTAAGTAGGAAGAGGAATCTTGAGCGCTCACTCTCATAAAGAATACGAAAGATATGCCGTGATGATACACTCATTCAAGAACTAGAAAGCCTCCGAGAAATACTGTTGGAGAATGACTACCTTTCTAGATGAATAGAGAAAAATATGAAAGAAAAGAGGATTATGGAACAGATGCAATCGGGTCCGAAGAAAATAGTTTTAATGAACTTCAAATTCCAAGGTGGTATTGGCGCACACATTCTTCGTCAACATTTGTCAAAGTCTCTAAGGAGAACATTCTATGCTGCGAACCTCCGTATTGTATTTGCATGTCAACAGTTGGTTCATCAATGAATGAAAGACAAGTTGGTGTATTCGGCTTCATAAATGTATGTTCACAAGTTTAATTGCTTCTGTCGGGTTGAGTACATCACCCGTACTATGCATTCACAAACGTTACCCAAGCTGGTTGCTGAAGCGTGGTCATAAAATCATTTCAGTCCCACCTTTAAACACCTCTTAGACTCTTGGCATTCCGGAAACTTCGTTCAAAGTTCGCTACGAAGTTCGAGCGAACCGTTAAAAAGGGGTGAGGATTAGACCAGTCGAAGCTTCAACAATTCACAGCTTCAAACTCCAATTGTGTGTTCAAAAGAAACATGTAAAAACACTTTCTTTATCATGGCCCTAATCACGTACTCTGAACCTCTGTTTATGTCTTATCTTGCATTTTATTTATTTACGTATTTTATTACGTGTTTATTTATTTATTTTTACCAGGTACCAAATTTTACTGTTCACTGAGTTTTATGAAAAAAGCTATTGAGACCATATCTTGTGCAACATAATATTATTTCATTTTCACAACCTTCCCAACCATTCACGTATAAGCTTAACACTATCTAAGAAACTTTCGTGTTGCTAAGCCTTATTTTTCATTTCAGATTTACACGCATATGTGAATAGTGGGTTACTTTAAAGGACACCCTAACAACTGCTGAGATAACCAATTACGTTCGTTATTTTATGAAAACTGCCTTGTTAGTGGAAGTATCGTAACTTGATTGGTTGTTTCAGTAGTTGCTTGGGTGGTTGTCTCACCTAGATTATATACCGTGGTTTATACAACCAGGTATATGCAGTATTTATCTGCGGAGCTCTACCGAAACTTATAAATTCACCAAATTCTGCTTCCTATACATCTGTGGGTCGTTTTATATTTGTATAGAGAAGGAAATGGTTTCAATTTTTGAAGAAGCACCTCCAGAACACTTCCCAGGTGGATTAATCACTACAGTGTTATTGATTAATCTTCTGTACACACACTACAATGACTAAAACCAAATCCCTATCGGTATCTATACTTATGAGCTGATAATACTATGACCGGTTTTGTCTGTTACTGAATTTGTTGGTTTTGGATCTGACGTGAATATAGTATTATCTTCTGATAGGGATTTGAACTAAAGGTTTTAGTGACAACTAATTGTGATTACTGGTTTATCATTTTAGTCTCTAAGATTGTTTTAACTGCTTAAAACTCCTCACTTTATTGTTTCAGTACATGTGGTGGTCGAAAGCCAATGGCATCTGAGTGAAATACCTCTTTAAAGACTTTGCTTTCTGGTTATTAAGTAGAACAAAAGGCACTGTTATCCAGTATTCTTGATCTTCACAACAGGTGTTTTTATATCTCAACTGAAGTGAAAGTTGAAGAATTGCCAAACGAACCATTTATAACCCCAGTCGCCACTTGTTATAACCTTGTAATGACTACTTTATATAACTTTAGTTATATATATATATATATATATATATATATATATATATATATATATATATATATATATATATATATATATATATATATATGCGTACGCAGGAACGCAGGTCACTCAGTCTCTTAATAGGTAGAAAAGATTAGCATAAACTGTATAACTCTAATTCGTTTGGTCAAAAATGGCCATCAATTTGAAGCAGAGTATTTTGGGTTAAAACGTCAATGTCAACATGAAAACTAGCTGGTGATCAGTCCATGACCTTTATAAGACTGCAGAAGTAAAATATTCAAACATACACATATATACTCACCATAAAACAATCTATTTGTTGAAATACATTCTCACTATAAAGGCACCGAAATGTAATTATATGAAAAGTACGATTAAATGTATTCCTTGTCCCTGTGATGCGAATGAAATGGATAACACGTGAAGGAAAATGTAATGTTTGCCATGAACGACACATATAATTCCGATAATCCACAATACGATGCCAAGTGGATCGATCCAATGAAACATCAACAGAATAAGAATATGAACTATATTATGATAAAGAAAAGAAAGAAATGAAGAAAAAACCCACAAATGTACAGTTTATAGACAATAAATTGTGTCTAAAATGTAGTCCAGTAAATAATACCCCTTCACTGTGTGATACATCTAATAAATCAACTAAAATGAAATTACACTGAACCATAGTGCCCAAGTTTAACACTAATGCTGACGAAATTGGTTGGCAGAAAGGTTGGTTTAAAAAGGGAGGAATAAGATGGACTAGACTATGTACCGCTGTGTGGCGGTATTTGATACTATCCATACGCCTAGGGTCAAACTTGGACAACACTCGAACACCTAACCTAACAGTTGGCAGCTGAATACAACCATATAGCTGAAGTTTTAAATATCAGAAATATTATAACCCAAAAGCCTTGGTTATCCAGGTGGCACTAATAATCAGAAATTAATATTGTGTTCTTACTCAAGATAAATGAAAACAACAATACGATTCTACAAGCCATACAACCAACTACTTCATATTCCATCACAGACAAAACAGGAATATGTCGTCTTCTTTTATATGTGGGAGGAGAGGGTTATGAAATATTGATTATTAGTGAACTAACAGACTTCTGTTTGCCAGTTCACCATGGAAACTTCTGCTTTTTTCATTACTTCCCATCAGTTCATTTTCATTTGCCCAATAAACTGTAACGAAGTATCTTCTACTTCCTTATTTGGTCATAACGAATTGAGTCTCGATATTATCATTCTTTAGTCTCTTGAAATTGACCTCTAAGTTAGTAGTCAATGTATGTAACGCAAGCAAACTTACCGATAGATGCACTTGATACTTCTAAGGCACTTATTCAAGTTATGCTATTTACATGAGAACCGCATCCCAAAGATTCTCAAATTGACACTCAAAGTGTTCAGAAGACTCCGCATCTTGTCAGCGTCTTCACCTAACAGGACTAAGTCATGTTATCTGCATATTCTAGGTCTAACGAAAATCCTCCTGCGACTAAGTCAACCTCTGTGTAGTCAGGTGACGAGGGGTAGACCTCAATAAGAATACCTATGATTGAATAAGAATGGAGACAGTGGGCACCCTTGACGGACACCACTCGACAGGCACATTTCCCTGGACATCTCACCATAGGCTCTAACACGCCCACAAGTGCTCGAGTAGAGAGCCTTCAATAAGGTGACGTAATTACTCGGCACGACTTTCAGTGAGAGACATTGTCATAAGACTTCTCGATCAACGGAGTCGAATACTATCGCCTTCAGGTCGAGAAATACAGCTACTGTTGGGCGTCAGTAAGCGTGCCTGTGTTTCAAAATCTGGCTCAATGTGAATATTTGGTCGATACACCCGTGACCAGGTCTAAAGCCTGCCTGCCTGCCTGGTTTCCGCGGAATCGCTGTTCCCTAGCTCCACTCAGACGTCGAAGAATTATAAAACTTAGAATCTTAGACACTATGTTCGTCAGGCTGATTCCTCCGTGGTTATCACAAGAGAACTTCTCGCCTTTTTTGAAGACTGGAATAATCAGTGATTTGAACCAATCAGAGGGGGGTCATACTTGATTCCCATATACTGGTTAACACTTCCGTTAACGTGACTAAGAGCACTCTACCACCATTCTTGTATACATCAGCAGGTAGTCCGTCTGGTCTTGCTGCCCTTCTTCGTTTCAGGTTACCTACCGCTTCCTCGGCTTCTGCAAGTGTTGTGGGGCCTATCTCAATGTTCCATTCAGGATCCGACTGGATAACGGGCAACGCAATAGTGGCTGGAGGCCAGTTTAACTGTTCCTCAAAGTGTTCCGCACATCGTCCCAGTTGTCTCCCTTGTGAGTGAATTGCAGATCCATCCTTCTCCGCTATAGTCTCACTAGCCGTTGTTGACCTTTTCTCCCCAGTTTCCTTAACAAGTCTAAATGACTGTCTACTGTTACCAATCGCCGCCGCCTTTCCCATCTCTTTAGTCTTCACTGCCCAGCACCGTTAGCGGCGGTAAGTTGTGCTCGCTTTTCATTGTACACAGAGCCTGCAGGCAGCGATGCGTTCATGTACATCCGTTGGTAAAGAAGAGGCTGCTGATATCGACTGGCTCTTATAGGCCACTCTTTCGGAGTCAGTTACGGTCTTCAGCGCTGCTTTTACAGCAGACTAGGGATGACACCAAGCTTCTTCTGGATGAGTGATAGTGTTTCTATTCCAATAATTGCCTAGCCAACTTATCACCGAAAGTGGCTTTGATATTTTCGTTGTCCAGCAACACTCGTAATGCTTTTGTTGCCAATTTTTTCCTATGTCCATTGAGACACAGGCATATACGCGCTCGGACCAACGCGTGGTCGCTATCCAAACACGCACTTCAGAAGCAGTGGCAGTCTTCTACCGATGCTCTTCAGCGATAACTGATAGCAATGTGGTCTATCTGTGTCCATCACTGAGTTGATATCGGTGGACGCCACGCCAGACAGTGTCTTTCTTTACGTCTGAAATTTGTGCTAGCTAAAAATAAGCGATCATTGAGCACAGTTGTAGTAGGCGATCACTGTTATCTGTTTGTTCAACCGGGATTCCCGAAGTGCCACCTAAGTGCTCTTCTGCCTCACTCAGTCTACCCACCTACCTGTGCATTGAAATCACCTGCAACAACCACCACGTCCGAACGTTTTGCTTTCGAAAGGAGACTAGACAGTTTTCAGTAGAACTCTTCCTTCACTTCATCCGAACTACAGTCAGTGGGTGCGTAAGCAGAGATTACAAAGAGACAATGGCGAGTTTCACTATTCCTTTTAGTTCTCACTGAGCCGTTCAGCCAGACAGCGCAGAGGCGACTATCAACTGGGATCCAGTCTAGTATTCAGCTTCCTGCCCTAGTGCTTAGTGCTATGCCCACAACTGCAAGACCGCGAGAGCTAGCCATAGAATCTCCAGAAACTCGATGGGTGAATTTTGCGCATTCATCAGGCTGGCCGGGAGAGGTTAGGTGAATAACCACACTTGGGTCCTGTATGCGTGTCTCATCTCACAAACACAGCATATCCATGGCCCAAGTTGCTACAGTCTTGGTCAATGAAGCCTGCTGACCAATTTGACAGAGGGTACGGACATTGAAGGCCCCGATGTCTAATTTGGAGCGTAGTTTAAGACCAGGGATGCTGTTCTGTGGATTCAGAACATTGTCGAAGGCTGCAGAGCTAAGAGAAATTGAAGATGATGTAGTATCGTTAATTGAGAGACGTGAAGGAAGATTAGAAGGTAATGATGAGGGAGGTGGATAGCAGTCTGAAAAACTTGAGTGCTGAAAGAGTTGTGAGGGAGGTTGACACTTCCTGACTGCCCCTACACTGTGGAGGGTTATTTCTTCTTAAGGTGCCTGAAAGGGATTTGAGTGACTACAGAGCCCATCGGACATCTGATTGAGGCCTGTCACATGCAGCCTTTTGTGTATGGTTGTTTTGAACTTTTGTATTTTGGGGGCCGGATGGTTGAAAAGAAACGACAAATGAACCAACACCACCGGCCCAGGAGACCGTGAAGTATGATGGGGTGTGCTGTTTTTAGGGCCGAACTTTTCTAATTCTCCCTTCCACTGAGAAGGCAGCATCAGCATGGAACTGCTGATCACCCAAGAGAAACACCTTACTGCTGTCACACCCCATCCAACTAGCAGAAGTACGACGTCGCCCTCAGACCCTATCAGAGCGTAGTAATAACGCCTTTCGTCTAACCACTATCCAACAAACCTTCTGACATGGTAGGACCTCGAGGGAACAAGCGTTCTAACGACCTATAGCTCGTTGGGTCATTGTGAAACGCGAGTTCGACCACCGCGTGAAGGTAGCAGCTATCGGTCAGGAGAGCAAGAACATAGTCCAATGCAACCAACAAGAAACTATCCTTACACTTGACTTAACAATGATGCGAGAAAACTGATTTCAGTCGGATGTGATCAAAATGAAGGACGAAAGCATCTTCCCGATAATCCCCAACAGTTGTGGGTGGTGAAAGTCAGAGATTTGGAGATATGTGGATGACACTCAGCATTGAAGGATACCAACAACAAGATGATGGTGAGTGAATGAAACTATCACCGAAAAAAAACTCGACGCTCATAACCTTAAGGGATACACGGCTAGAACGTTAGACAGGATGGATCTGTGAGATCAAGGAAGGATTGTGTGGCCAACCGATGCTAACTCGCTATCTCCGCCATCGTGCCAACCGACTGCAATTAGGATAACTCAAAGGATGAATTCTATCGCCGGCTGTTAATATTGTTACAGAGAGAAAAACCTTTCAGATGTAATCATAATGGTACTTGATTTTAAAGCGTTTTCTCTCGATGAAAGCAAAACCTAGCACAGGGACTTAGATTGTAAGCAAAATGTTTGAAGCTGGCTAGCAAGGCTACCCAGATTGCACAAGGGATGAGAAGATATGGCCTGGGAGTGCTTGGAATCTGTGAAAACAGATGGAATGGAAGAGGACTCTCCAAAATCTCAATTGCAGAGTCAATTACCTACTCCGATATTGTCACCCAGACGACAACCACGAGCACACGGAGAGAGTGACTATCACGATTTCCCTAAGAACATTGAAGGCTCTCATGCAGTGAGAACCAATCTCCTTGTCCACCATCAGGTTCATCACAGCAAGATTCAAATCAAAAGGAAGGAAGGTCACAATCATACAATGCTACTCTACGCCATCCACCTACAAATAATGCAGATCAAAAAGAGAAGGAGGAATTCTACAGACAACTACAATCAGTAATAGACAAGACTCCAACCCAGATGACGACATCAAAATTCGAATGGGCAATATGAATGCCAACCAAACTGGGAGCGCATAACGCAGGAAGAGAACTCATCAGCAGTCGAGAAGCACTCGGTGAAATGATGAGTGAGAATGGAGAACTCTTTGTAGACTTCTGCTCATTCTACAATTCGGCGATTGGAGGCAGTGTGTACAAAGCGACATGGATTCGACTTCACCAGATGGACACACTAAAAATCAGATCGATTTCATTTCAATCTCAAGAAAGTGGAGACGTAGCCTACTGGACACAAGATCAGATGAAGAAGGGGACCAGATGTAGATTCACACTAGTAGATTCACTATCTAGTGCAAGGAACCTTCAAAGTCAAGTTGATAGCTTCCAAAGAAAAAGCTGGTGATGACAGACCACAGTTCAAGTTCAACACCCAGAACAGAAACTTAACTCAACTGAAGGACGAAACTACAAAGGACATCTTCACATCAGTCAGTCAGTCATCAGGAAGAAATGGGAGACATTGAGCAACATCTCTGAAGAAACCTGTGTGGAAGAACACTAGAAATCTTTGAAAGAGATGAGGAAGGAAACCTGCATAACCATATTAGGAAGGAAGGGGAAGCAAGACAAGACAAGGAATAGATCTCGATCCACACATGGGAGCTGATAGAGGACAGGAAGATGGTGAAGCAGATGAACCGATGCAAGAATAAACAACGAAAAGAGGAACTGAACACAACGTATAAAACACTACACTGGACAAAGAAGTGAAGAAGAGTGCGTGCAAAGACAAAACACACTTCTACGACACATTGGCAAGTGAAGCAGAACAGGTTGCTGGTTGGAGAGATAGAGACCGGACAACATTATATCAAATAACCAGGTTGCTATCTCAGAAGAGATCAACACAGATGAAACCAAAGAAAGATAGTGAAGGAAACCTAGTTACAACCAAGAAGGAGAAACAAAGGAAACGATGGGCTGAACACTTCAAAAACTCTTGAATCGATCACCACCTGCAACTCGTCCACAAATACCACCAGCAACGGCAGAACTACCAGTGAACACATACCCTCCGACAAAAGCGGAAGTCATGAATGCCACGGGACTGAGAGAAGACAGAGGTGATGAAGATACTCAACGAATAACAACAACAACATTAACAACAACAAGCATCAGTCACCATCAAAGGGAGAAATCTAAACGAAGTTGTCTCTTTCACCTGCCTAGGTGAGGCAGCATCATTTCAACTACAGGCGGCGGTGGAGGCACAGATGAGATTGTCAAAGCCAGGATCTGAAAGACAACAAGACAGCCCTTCATCAATCTGAAATGAGTGTGGAAATCTACTGCACTGCACTGCTCTGCACTCAGTATAAAGCGTGAACAAGGTCCGGATTTTCAACACCAATGTCAGTCAAGTCAGTGCTTCAGTGTGATGGTTTTGAGACTTGGCACGTTACGAAAAGCATTTACAACAGACTGCAGACATATATCAACAGCTGCCGCATATGCTCGCTCGATATTGAAGATCATATGGCCAGATTAATACGAATAAGCAACAAGGAACTCTGGCTTGCCAACGAACGAACCAAGAACCCATTGCCCAACGAATATGCAGCCGAAGAAATCGGAGATGGATTGAACTAGACATACACTGAGAAGACTGATCGAGGACATCAAGAGCCAGGTTAGTCCCTCCAGTGGAACTCATGTGGGAAACGGCGAGTTGGGCGTCCGAGAGTGATATGGAGGAGATCGTGTGAGGAAGAAATGAAAGCTTCTGCGCATTCGCGGAGCCAGGTTGAGAAGACTGCAGAGAACAGAATGAAATGGTGACGTGCTACCGAAGCCTTATGTTCCACTAGGAACTCAAAAGACAAACACTAGTAATAATAATGGAGGTCATCTAGTTAGTTTGAAGTATGCAGACGGTACTGTTTGCTAATGCAATACAGGGTATTTTGAAAGCGTTGAGCGGGAATCTGAGATGTTTGACTAGTTAGGGTTTTGCATCTTTTAAATGCAAGATGATGCTCCATGACAGGTCTGCTGCAATTTATCCCAGTTTAAGGATGCGGAGGGGGGGTCGCTGATAAAATCTCAGATCGGATACAGTAGGCCAGTTAAGCACTCACCAATATGCGTCGTCTGTGGCGCCGACTAACGAGACATCCAACTACATATTAAAGGACGAGTATACTGCACCGCGGACAGTTTTGTCCTGTCATGCGGCTGTGAGACGTGGCCATTAAAAGTAAAAGATATGAAGCGATTACAGACTTTCGATCCTAGGTTTTTTCTTAGCATTGCTTGCGTTTGGTGGGATCATCATGTGAGCAGTGTTGAGGTCGGCCAATGAGGTTGTGAACCTTCATCAAGTGAGGAGGATTGGACGTATGCTGCACATTTCCAGCCACCACGTACCTCGACATGCAATGCCAGGGGATGCTGGGATCACTGAATAGTTTCATCTCGACGTCGTTATTAATAACCTACCTTGATCCTGTTGTCTAAATGAGCCAAGAGACCTGATGACTATTAAGAGTCCCATTCCCTCAACCTACTTCCTGTTTTTTAATACTGTTCAAAATTATTCTTCGCACTCCCAGTCTGCTTTCTGTCAGCCCCGGTTTTAAAGAATAATACAAAAAATGTATTAAAAACTGATTCAAGCTAACTGGTCATTTTCCAAGTAAATACTATACTTATAATCTCAAGAAATCACTTCAGTAGTCTCGAACTACAAATTTACACACCACCTAGAAAATCAAACGAATAAATTTACCGTAAGTCTCGATCCCATAACTGCATACGAATGGTATTCACAATGCTAGGTTTTCCTAAGCGAATAATTATGCTGGCATTAGCATCATCTAAGGAGTGGCGTACAACATCGTGTTCTGAATGTGGTGGTGGTGGTCTATGTTGATTAACACGCCTTCTGGAAGATGGTTGTATCCAACGAGCTGATTTACTATTCACAGCATTAGCAGTGCTGGATGTTGCTGCTATTGAGTTTGTTGATGCATTCACAATACCAGTTCCATATGGAGCTAAATTACGAATATTATGGTGAACTTGTTGATTGTTAGACCATCGGTGGTTATCTGCATGATGTAAGGAGATATAAGGATTATTACTGGCAGCATGATCCACCCCCAAACAATGTCTTCTGATAAAGAACTTCGAGGTAAGTTAGTACAATGAGGGTGATTGGATGATCGACCTGTAACACAATGAATAAGTATAAGTTAGATAGTCGAGATATCCAAAAAACAAGCTGTAGTATAGTAGTATATTGTATTACAACTATCTGACTAACTACCTGGAAATTGTTAACAAAACAATACATACAAACACTACAGTAATAAGCATAATCGTTCCCATAGTGCTGTATAATACGACGCTAAAAGCAAAAGAGATGGGAATGTTGGGATAAATAGTACGTGGTAATTTGAATTAAGAGAAAAGCACATCTGTACACTCTAATTTCATATGCTAGTAATAAACACTATTCGTAGCAAGTCACCATAATCCTAGAGACAGGTATATGAAAATAGGATGAGTATTCATGACAATATACAAATCAATCAGCTGCTTTAACACAACATGATGAACGCCTATGAATCTTTTTTGAATAAGAAACAAAAATTGCTGATACTAAAAAAGCTAATAAATTGGTCATATTCTCTGCTAAAAGAATTATTATTATTATTAGTCCCTTGGGTTCCTAATGGAACATAGGGCTTCAGTAGCACGTCTCCAGTGAATTCTATTCTCTGAGATCTTTTGAACCTGGTTCCACGACAGCCCAGAAGCTCTCATTTCCTCCTAGCATGACCTCCTCCATGTCACCCTCAACTGGGACACCCAACTCGTCGCTTCCCATGGGGATTCCACTCGAGGGCCTGACGCATCATGTCCCCAGTCGGCCTTCTCAGTGCATGCCCAATCCATCTCCACTTCCTTCCAATGCATATTTCTTCAGCGATAGCTTCTTGGTTGGTTCGTTCCCAGAGCTCCTTGTTGCTTATTCCTGTTAGTCTGGCCATCTGATCTTCAGTAACGAGCCAGCGTAAGCAGTTGTTGATGAATGTCTGTAGTTTATTGGAAATGCCTTTCGTGACGCGCCAAGTCTCTGAGCCATACAAGAGCACTGACTTGACGTTGGTGTGCTAAAAGAATAGATCTCTGTAAAGCTTTACACCTAAATACGGCAATGAAGATAACGGTAACAATTTTACAAGCCTCTATTTCACTCAAACAAACAGTGTATCACGAATATGTGTAACAAAAAAAGAATAATACCCCGGTGGAATGCACACATTAATCATAACGGAGGATCGAGGTGATAAGTGCATGAAGGCAAATATAGTATTACCTGCTTCATCAGAAGTCATGTCCATAGCTGTTACAGGTATATCATTATCATTCAGTTGTTGATATCTGCGGTAAATTTCACTGTATTCCTCGTCAGTATCATCTTCTTCACCACCACCAATGCTGTCAACATCCTCCGATCTTCATTCCTCCCAGAATCACAGAAACTAGGTTCACTTGAAATCAGAGATTCAATGTTCAACTTAGCATTGTTGGATTCTTCCAGTGGATTCTCAACAAAGAAATATGGATAAGTTCCACTTGCACCTGAGACTAGAGTACAGCCAAAACGACGTGATGCTAAGTTTATACCTGGAACTAAAAGCGGGAAAGAATACAGGCAACAAGACTTGGATTAAGAATTAAATTTCCTGCAGGCAAAATATAATGGTACACAAACAGAATTCATGCTTCAATAAAAAAGCTGTTGATGACATGTAATTAAAGACAGTCGGCAGGATCTAAATTTCAAGCTGGTTTTTACCCGTAAAAAAAGTGTACCTACGATCTCAAGCGAACCTATACTTCCTCGGAGAACTGAACTTGAGCCCCTCAATGCCGCGGTCAGAAAAATTGCCACTGAACCATTCAGGTACTGATTAACAACCTCCCATATGACTGGATTAAGCATGAAGCTTGTTTACCGTATAAGTATTTACAATGAGCTTTTTTTCTAAGGCACAGATTTCAATTTTTTTCTTAAAGATGTTCACATATCCCCTAACATGTAACCTTGAAAGGTAACTACTATTTAGCCTATTGTTCACTTTTTCCTCTATGTTTGCCAAGCTTCAAAATGTATCCTTCAGACAGTACTTTCTATGAGTTCAAACTAATTCATTTACAAAAAATAGTAGAGAAGAGAGTAATTTATAAAGGAATAGTAGAGAAATAAAGATTTTGAAGTCTTGACAATCCATGTACTTCTACTCTTATGTTGTAAGTGAGAAGCAAATATTTTTTAGCAAGAATTCGATAAGCTATTGAGAACGCTTCATATACATCACTTTCACTGCCCATTATTCCATATAAAAATATATAAAGTTTTTGTTTCGTTTCTTCGTCAACATTTAAACAATTAACAGTGAAGGTTCGTTTGTAAATAGAGGATCTCACAAGATAAGTGAAGTTGAAAGTACTGTCTAGTGGGAAGGTGTGGAATGATTGTAAAGTTAACTTTCTCCCAATACATCCGTAGATTTTCATCTGACACAAGGTTATACATGTGTCATGTCGACAAGTGTCAGAATGAAACGAAATAGATGTTTAGCGTTTTCTACTGATATCAGCCTGTTAGCACAACCATGTTCAACTTCCATACAAAGCAACAATTACAAAGGAAATTAGCAACACGTTTCTTTGAGTTATAAGTATTTAGTTCAGTAACTACATTCAGTTACACTTGATGTATGAAAAAAAAAGGTCTAAAAATCAATAGTAAAATTACTTACAAAACCAACCACGATGAGGCATTTCAGTAGGACAGTTAGTCTGTTGATTGATTGCGTCTAATAATTCTTCTGAGGTAACAAGCTTTGATGAACGCACTTCAGTTAGTAATTGGGTGAGGGACATCAGTTCAAAACGAACACATTTACGCATCATTTGATGAGCACGAGATTCGTCTGTACCATCTACTGCCAATGATTGTTTCTCACTGTCAAAGTCTTAAATACGAAAAAGGAGAGAATAAACTGGAGAAAATAAATTTCAAAAACATAAGCAGAAAAGGAGGAATATCCAGACAATGTTTGGTACCAATACTTTCGAAAAAGCTGAGCACCGGGTCTGATTTAACCTCTATAAGAATATATTTAGATACCAACGCGGGATGTTAAGAAAACGAAAACACGATTCTTCTGAAAGTTTTGCAGTGCACCAGAAATATTATTCTGTAGAATTTTGGATTTTTGTCATATAAACGTACATGAGCATGAGCATGCATATATATTATATATATATATATATATATATATATATATATATATATATGGAATCGTAGAAAAGATGATCTGTTCAACTTACCACACCTCACATGACATATACAGAAGAGAGTAACTAACATCGGAAAAATTTAACAAAAAGCGTTGGAACAATGACGAAATTGTTTATTACAATTAAAATTAAAATGTGCTTATGCATCTGAACCACTGAAATTGACTCCAACCAATATCATGCACAGTCTCAAACCGCCGATTTTCGTTGTTACACTCACGATAACCAGGAAGTTTTCATTTCCCTACGCGGCTCACATCGACATTCACAAGTCACATAGACTGATGCCATGTTTCACTTTGGTTGCCCTTAACCTTTCAGCCTGAACCTACTTCGGTAAAAACAGAGAGACAAAAAACACTGACATGTATGTTGCAGTCATCTGAATCTATGAAGGTTCACAACGTTATCAACTGACTCCTCTTCTACCTAAAACGATACACCTGATGTAGCAGGACTACGACACCCGACTGATAGCTGCTACCTAGACATGCTAGCCTAATATCAAATGGTGATACAGTACAGTACAATGATCCAGAGAACTATGTTGACGGGAATGTTTGTTACCTCGATGACGCACCATGCCAGTATTGTCTGTTGGATACTAGTGAAACGAAACGGGAAGACAAATATGAAGAAAAGAATGTTTATTGCTAACAAGTGGTACAGTAGTTGTTAAATATGGTACATCCTGCAATAAAACCGTCATTTGCAAAGTGCACTTCATTTCCTCGTCTGCTTCCCTCTTCATTTGTTCTTCATACACCTGCGCTGTCTCTTGCATCTCTCTTGGCAGAATCTTTACCCATTGCTGGTAATTCCCTATGACTTCTGCTGCCCTCTTAACACATACTACTTATATATCAGCAACGCTCACTACACTCGTACCCCTGTCAACACTTAGGGCTTGCAACAGTGTTCATCGTCTTGATGCTATCTTATCTTGGTGTTCATGCAATGTTTCGTCTTTTCCCCACCAGTTCAATTTTTGCAGTAGGCTGGCGTTTACTCTTTTCTCTTTGTCCCTTTTTTTGACGGTATAAACTGAACCGTGTCTCTTGCTAATGATGTATGGTCCTTCCCACTTCGAGAGTAGTTTTCTTCTACCATATTCACCTCCTGACGTATATCCTCGTTCTTTACATTTCACTTGATCTCCGACCTCAAACGGTCTCAATTTACTTCCTTCTCTCTGCACAGATTTTTCAGCATCAGCTTTGTGTTCTCGTTCCACTTTTCTGATTGCATGTTTCCGCTCATTTCTCAATCTAGTCACGTTCCATGGCTGTCGTCGGGGCTAGATCTTACTGTATTGGAAGCCATGGTTTCCTGCCATACATTAACTGGGACGACGACTTCTTGGTTATTCCTTGTACCGAGGCACGATGAGCTAATAATGTTAACGGCAGTTCCTGTCGAGGCCAACCACTCAAGTGTACGGTTATTCCGTTCTGTCAAACCGTTAGTCTATGGGTGGTACGGCATCATTCTTACCCTCTTGATATCAAGCTGCTCCAAACAGGATTGGAATTCTTCACAATCAAAACAAGGACCTCGGTCGGTCAATATCATTTTCGGCACACTGTGATCCGCGACAATATGCCACATCACCGCTGCAGTCACTGTCTTCGCGCGTTGACCAGGAATCGCGACAGCGTCTACCCATCGTGTAGCATGCTCCGTCATCACCAACAAGTATTGGTTGCCACTAGACGTCTGCAGAAATGGTCCCACCACGTCCACAGACCACAGGTCACCAACTGCCTCCACTAGAATCGACTGAAGCGGTGGTCTTACATACCGACCACCTTTCATTGACAATGAGGACAGCCCAGTATGTGTTTGGCAACATCTATCATACCCACCCAGTATGCACTGTCTCAGGAGGTCGGCTTTCCGTGAGGCACCTGTATGTGCTAACTGGTGGCATTCTTGTAACATTTTGTCGCGTAGATATTTCAGAATCACTGCCAACCAGCTCCCATCGTGTTCTCGCCACGTCAGCATTCCAGAAGTATTCACCGGTAGACGTTCTTTCTGCGTCAACAACGTTCTCAACTCTTTATTTCCCATAGACGTTTATGTCTTCGTTCCTTCAGTTATGGCTTTTATCACTTCTTTAAGTGTAGGGTCCGACTTCCGAAGGCGAATAAGTCTTAATGGGTCCCGTTTCACTGCATGTACACCGTATGCAATCTCCGGTCGTTCATTTCTTTTTCTGATCTTGATAGGAAGTCTGCCAACCAATTTTCTTTCCCTGCCACATGGCCGATTGTGAAATCGTGTTCTCGCAGTCGTAACATCCAATGTGATAATTTTCTTCTGGGGTCTCCTGCTATCTTAAGCCACTGTAGAGGTTTGTGGTCAGTTTCAATATGGAATCGTTGACTGAGGAGGTACGATCTCCATTTCTCAAGTGCCCAAACTATCACCAGACATTCTTCTTCAACTGTGGAATATTTCTGTTCTGCAGGTGTCAGGACACGGCTGGCATACTCCACTACTCCTTCAGTCTGTCTCAAACTGCGCCTATTCCATAATCACTTGTATCGGTAGATACGATAAATGGCCTACCGGGTACTGGTAGTTTTCAAGTCATTCCTTGGTTATTCAGGAGTTCCTTGATGTTATCAAACGTTTTCTGTGCCTCTTTCATCCACAAAAATTTTAGGTTGCCAAGTAGCTTATATAAAGGTGCTGCTATCTCAGTGAAATGTTTGAGGAACCGACTGCATAGTGAAGCTCTACACAAGAACTGTCGTAGTTTCCTTTTGGAATTCCGCACTAGAATAGTTCTAACCGTCAAAATTTTTGCAGGTAATGGTTTTATTTCATCGTTTCCAACTTTATGTCCTAGTAATGTAACACTCTTCTTGGCCACCTGAGATTTTGTTGTCAATGCGTCTTAAAACAGCTTCCATATGCTTTGGATGTTCTGCTTCCGATTGACTGTACACCACCAGGTCGTCACCAAACACCTCCACGTTCTCTAAATTCTTCAGCAACAACATCATCAACCGTCTAAATGTAAATGGCGCGCCTGCAAGACTAAATAGCGTTCGTTTGAATTGGTATTGCTTCTGACCACAATAAATGCTGTTTTCTCTCTATCGCTTTCTTTGATAAGTAGCTGCCAGCAGCCTGAGCGGAGGTCCAGAACTGTAAACACTTTTGTATTCTGCAGGCAACCGAGTGTCTCAGCTACCGTCGGCATGGCACACGTCTTCAGTTGCGTTATGTTATTCAACTCTTGGAAATCAACGTAGAATATATATTTCCCACTGGACTTTCTTACTAAGAGCACTGGCAAACTGTTTGGGCTATCAGCCTCTTCAATAATACCTTCGTTTATCATTTCCTGAACCTGGCGCCCAACTTCTTCTTCTACTTGACGTGATATTCTCTGTGTTATGAATGTTGTCATTCCCTGACTTGTCACTGGGATTTCATGCTGAACCTTGTCACAGTGTCCATAGGGGTCACTATCTCCCATGAACAATCTGTCGTACTTCTTAACCAACTTCGTGATGTTCGATGCTTATGGGTGTGGTACTTTTGATACCTCACCTCAATCTCTGCTACCTCGCTGTTTTCCTGCATGGTGAAAGACCCGTACCTTGTCGCCACTATTCCCGTTCTCGAGTTAATAACTGCACCCACTTCCCTAAAAAAATCAGCAGCTAGGACTGTCCATTGTAGACGCGTGGTCACAATGAATTGAAATCTAATTTTCCGACTTTCTATCACGAAGACGCAATCTGAGATTTCTAATGCATGTCCCTTAACCGTGTGGACCGTTAGCGCACATGGTCTTATGTTCTGAAACAAACACTTATCTATCAGTGAAACTGCCGCTACCCTATGTATTAGACACACGATCTCCCGATCATACATTCGCATTATAGCATACACACCACTTCTATCTATGGCTCCTACAACACCTAGTCTAGTCGGAAAAACAGAACTCATATAATACCGTTCAAAACATTTTTTTCGTCTCTCCGGACAGTTTCTTCTCCAGTGTCCCGGTTTTCCGCATGCAAAGTATTTGCTATGTTTGTTGATATTCATTCGAAATGCGGCCACCTCCTCCTGAAGGTTGATTCGGTTTCTCGAGTTACTCACCTCTGGAGACTCCACTGCAGCTACTGATGTACTCATTAGCCGCCTGGTGACCTTGACCAGCTGACTAATATCCATGAGTTGGGCTGCGTTCCCTGGTCCCAATTGCTTGGCGATGGCATTCGGAAACCTTGCAATGAACTGTGCAGCCAGTGACTGCACTTTGGAGTCCAAATCCAACGTGAGACATGCTCGTCAAAGTAGTTCAGTCAACTTCATCTTCGTCTATTCCAAGTTTCGGGCTCCGGAATTGTTGCGTCGCCAGCTCCCTGTCCGCTGGGTAGTCAGACTCCGTTTACAGGCTTTCAACTATTCTCTGCCAAGCCTCCTTCCCATCCCCAAGTACCACGCCGTCATATGCTACGTTTACCCTACTCCCAAGCAACGTGCCAAGCGCCACAACGGCCCATCCTCGATCACAAACACCCACTACCAAGATAAAAAAAAGCACCACGATACTGAATCTCATATCTTCGTGATCACATTGCAAAATCATCGATATGAACGAGTCAGCACTCAGGCCCAGACAATATGGAATTGATGACTCCCA